GACGCCGGGAGGGCTCGCCGCCGCCGCCGCGCGCGGCAGCCCGAGATCCTGGCGTTCATGCCACTTGTCCACCACCGCCGCTGTCGCTCCCCTCGGGCCCCAGGACCCTCACAGATCGATGCGGCTCGAAGCATGACGCACAAGGAGGGTGCCTATCGGGCTCCAGGCGTGATCTTCTGCGGTGTTGCACTTTTTGTTCGCTGCGCTGGACCTCGGGGCAGCGCGCGCCCTGGGCCGGGGCAGCGCGGCCGTGCGCGTGCCGGCGAGGGGCCGGCGAGGCTTGCGGACGTTGTCTCGGCACGACCGGAGGAGGGATAGTTCTTCGGTTCGACAGGGTTCGGGCCTCAAGAGGCAATGGTCAGTGCAGGCGGGGGTCAGTCAGAGCGCCGGATCTTGCAGGATCCTGCAGAGCCAGGGGTGTATTGGCCCGGGCGCGGGCGCAGGAGCCTGCCGGATCTTGCAGGGCCCCGCAGAGCCCGACCGAGCCAGGTCTGGACTGACCCGGGTCAGCAGATCCCCGAAGGGTGCGGGGAAAACGGTGACGGGTGGCAAGGCTGCCGGTTGTGCACGGACTGCCCCCCCCCCCCGGCGGTCCCGTCTGGCCTCACCAGGCCCCCGGAGCAGTCCCAGCTGGCCTCAACAGGCCCCCCAGGTGGTCCTGGGCGGTCTGAACAGCTTGGCGCCACCTCCGGCGGCTCGCCTGGGTGAGGCCAGCGGGGACTACCTGGGGGGGCTGTTTGTGCGCAATCTGAAGCTTTACCAGGGACGAAGACCAGCAGCAGCTCTTGTCCATCTTGAACGGGATTCGCTGTCTGTGTCGCGCGGGCGGTGTCCCTTTGGAGACGCAAGTTCGCTTGTCAAACAGAGGCGGCTGTCGATTTCGCTGTTGGGCATCGTACTCATTCCCAACCCTCCCTTGGTTGGGTTTTCGTTCCGAAGAAAGCAGTGGTGTCGCCAACTCCCTTCCTCCTCCCCCTCCTCCTCGTCCTCCTCCTCCTCCTCCTCCTCAGCCGCTGTCTAGGACTCGAGACAAACGGGTTCGGCAGGAAGGAAACTCACACATGTGTCGTTCCTTAGGCTCCGCGCCTCAGAGGTGCTGTTGGCGTCACTGATGGGGGGGCTCTCTCGCTCCTGCTCTCTTGGCACGCACTGACGACGGCGGCCGCCGATCACGGAGATGCGGATAGCGGCGTACAACCCGCTTTGGGCCAGCCACGAACGACACGAGGACATATCGGAGGCCCTACGGGAATGGGACATCATACTGCTTGCGGGTACGAAGCAGAAGGGACTTGCAAAGAAGACGGTTGCACAGGGGAGGATGGGGAGGCATTGGGGATTGAAGAGTGGGTGGGGAGCAACATTCAGACGGAAGACAGGCATGCTGGTGAACAATCGTTGTGGTGTGTCAATCATATTCAGCAACCGTATGCCACAAGCATGTCTTATAGATGTATATATACCTCGTACTCGACTTCGAGGGCGCGTACTAGGAGCACGTGTGCAGGGGCCAGACTACGATTTCGCTATTTTCTGTGTGTGCATGGCAAACACGCACGACCGCAAGCACGAGCAGACGGCGCGTGAGATTGTAGACTGGATCGACAGCATTATAGATCGGCTCGGTGTGCGCACTACGATTGCTGTGGGTGGCGACATCAATTCAGACTTTGGGCTTGCACGTGCAGCCGACGGCGTGGTGGAACGCGTACGTAGCGCAGCTATAGGTAGCAGTTACCCTGCCATAGAGAACGCGAATGGACGTATCTTCAGGGAGTTCTGTGAGAGAAACGAGCTGTATGTGTGTACAACCGACCACGACGTGGGTGCCGCTTTCTTTGGACCGAAGGGAGGACGGAGCAGGATTGATCATGTAGCAATGCCGTTGCGTGCGCGTGACATGGTGCACATGTGTCGTGCACTTCCACGGGCTGCGAAGAGACTACAAGTGATCAGAGCACGGGGACAGAAACCACCTGCCTGTCGGAATTGACCTACGCGTCAACACCCAACAATGCCAACGCCCACCCCGCATGCGACGAGAAAAGCTCGACAGAGATGCCCTGATGAGATGCCTTCATAAAGGAGTGAAACGACCTCAGTTCCAGCAAACACTGGACGACGAAATGCAAAATATCGACAACAACAACACGCGGCAAAGGGCATTGGAACAAACAAATCCTGACCAGTACTGGGACCTGTTTGGCACCTGCGTCCGAACAGCACTTCTCCAAACCTTCCCTGCCCGACGTCGGGAGAGTGAAGAGCTGCGCAACCAAGTGCGCGAGCACAGAATGGAACTACTGGAGAAACGACGGGCGCTTCGGGAACAGATGGTGGATACTGCGTCAGATACACAACTACCACTGGTCTTGGACGATCTGAAAGAAGCCACGGCGGGACTGACAAAGCTACGGATCACATTTGACAACAGGAGAAAACGGAGATCGTCCAGCAAATATGGGATGCATACAACACCAACCAGTTCTCAGAAATTCACCGCCTGCGAGTGGAATACCAACGCAACGGCCGAGGCCCAAAGCAACGCTTTTACTTTGGACACAAAACGTCATGGTCTAAACGGAATTGGATAAAGGATTTGGGGCGACCAGCTTGTGAAGGTGGAATGTCATGTGTCGAGATCGATTGGGGCGCTCTTAGAAATGATTACGACAACTCGTGCGCCGACGCTGAGCTCCTGCATGTTGACGCCGGCCTTCTTGCAATGGTGCGATCCGACCGCTACCGCGTGCAGGGCTACTGCCGTAAGGCAAAACAAAAAAGACGAGCATGGCCAGCATGGGGGTTGCCCGAGGAGGCGGTCTGGATGCTGCTCAACCCGCGCGTCAACATCACCAACCCAAATGAAGAAAGTGAGAAACTAGCACGCAGAGCACCTACCACAGCACAGAAAGAAAGGGCGAAGCAGAACTGGAAAAACTGGCAACTGACTACAGCTACCGACTGGGGCGGAAACCACTAGAAAAGATTGGACGGAACCGCGGTGAAAGTATCGGGGCGCGGCAACGAGCAGCAGGGGAACCTCCGCAGGATGTCATCGAACCTAACTACTGGACCTGTGCACGGCCTGCAGGTGTAGGAGTCGGAACTGAGGAGTACACGACGACTAATTACTATTTCCCCGAACGACTGAACGAGCTCCTGAAGCGCGTGCGTCGCTGCGAAGCCACGCCATTGGACATGCATCGATCTCGCGCCTTCTCGGCTGAGAAGGCCAACAACAAACCGAACATAAGTGGCGAGATGATCATGCACGCGTACTGTGCCTTCAGCATGGCGTGGCACGCTGGACTGCACCGACGTTCACAACCATCGGTACGCCCACCTTGGGCACAGGGCGGCCTTGCTCACCGCAGCCGCGAGAATGCGATAGTCACACTCCTGGCCACGCAATGGCGTTGTCGACGAGCTCACGTATCCATGGCCATTAGCAACTACGATGGAACAAACGCATTTGCCGGCACAGACCGTCGATTACTACGTACACTCGCTGAGGCCCAACTTGCACCTGAAGACGCGATGCGCGGACTCGGCTCTATTGAGCACAGCTCGCTGACGATCGAGGCATCTGATGGAAGCGCCAACATGCGATCCACAACTGGTACCCAAATGGGCTTCGCTACTGCGCCTCGGGACTTCCACGATGTGTACAACGTAGCAGTCCAACACTGGAACAGCGAAGAGCGCGAGCACCAGGATCAAACGCTAAACGACACGAGCAACCCGACCGACGGCCTGACCTACGACCTGTCTCTCTGGACGATGTTGCAAAGATCAGCTTGTTTGAGGAAGACTTGGAAGCGGAGGTCATAGGCCAGAGACTGAATAACACCACTGCGAGGCTCAGCCAAATACTCGGCAGAGGCAACTGGACACCCAACCCCGGTAACACGATGCACTTGCTGTGCCTGATGGGTAAAGGAAACTACAAGGCGACTCGACTTCTTCGGCGAGACACGGGGGAGCTGCTGCAGGGAGCAGGTTGTAGGGAGATGCGCGTCCTCGGACCTTGCCTCCCCGCAGAGCAGGGACTTGCTGGAGGGATCATGCGACGATGCCAAGCAGGAACGAAAGCATGGCGCATGTGCGGGGTGTTTTGGAGTTCGCGAACGCCCAGGCCAGTAAAGCGCATGCTGTTCTTTGCCTTCGTAGTAGGAGCAGTGTTATCGGGGCCCGCATGTTTCTTCTGGGAGAAGCGCCGCGCCGACAAATTGGACTCCCTACTCGCTAAATTTCGATTCGCACGTATCGAGGGAGTCGCTGGCAGCGGGCCAGGATTACCAGAGGGACGTCAAAGAGGCAGGAAAAGGCCGCGGTCTCGGCCCCCCCCACTGCCGCGTGGCGGTACGCACGATCAAAGCAATGGTCGACACGATAGACGAGCAGAGCCAAGTCGACCCAGACGCCAAGCAAACGCTGATATATCTGTTGGCCATAGCGAACTCCAGGTACGGAATGCAGACAATCGCAGAGATATTCAAGAGCTTCAAAGCCAAGGAAGACTACAAGCACGCAGACACGGAGATGGGGGATCGCAAAGTGAAGTTGTCGTACTCCCTGAACCCCCTGCCGAGCATGCGTTTAGCCCAGACCACGGCGAAATTCGGAGCTCAGGAAGCCCCGCCCCCTCAGATCCAAATCCACGAAATCAAAGAAGCAATGGGACTAGTTCTTTTGGAGCAGAAAGCGGAGACACCGATGGGGCCAGGACCGCGGACAGAGCTCGAGAGGGTTTGCGAGAAGCAGATGAAGGGCCTACTCAGCAAGAGCTAGAGGATATGGCCAGAGTAGCATCTATAGCACGTGATCCTCGTAGACTTACAGCACTACGTAGTATGGCTATGGGCGGCCCAGACAGACAGGCATCGCAGCATGCAGTGAGGCTTCTTAATTTGGTTGAGCGTTATCGGCAGCAGATGCGAGACCAGTTGATGCATACTACCTCTACAAGTATTTCTCGTGCATAGATTCACAATAAG